TCTCACCCTCCCTCCTCACCTGAGGTGTGGAGATTCTCAGGTTAAACCGCCACCAATCTTCTCTCATGAGAACTGAAATAACTGAAATAACTGCATGGATACTGTAAATCAGGAACAAAAACAGAAGTTGCTGGAAAAGCTCAGCAGGTCTGGCAGCACCTGTGAAGGAAAAAGTCAGAGTTAACATTTTGGGTCCTCAGACCCAGGCCTGAAATGTTAACTCCGACCTTTTACCTTCACAGACACTGCTGAGCTTTTCCAGCAATTTCTGTTTTTTTTTCTCTCATGAGAAGTCTGTTAAGACTGGCAACCTTACCTATTGAGCAGGTCATTTGTTCTGGTGGTGTTGGCTGAGAGCAAATTATTGATTAAAAATTTCTCTGCTTTCTTTGAATAGAGCCATGGAATCTTTGCATCAACCTGAGAGAACAGAGTCGAAGTTTATTTAACAGCCCATCTCAAACTCAGGACCTGTAACAGGACAGCACTCCCTCTGTAAGGCTGTATAACTATCACCCAAATTTCTACACTGACGACAGGCAACCTGCTGACTCAGAAGAGAAAGTGAAATGGTTTCTGTGTGGAGTGTTCTTTGACGTACCAGATTATGCATTTTTCATTCCTCTTCACCATAACATAAGACATTTTTCATGTATTGCACACATTATTTATGTTCCAGGCTGTTTAGCAGATATTTGTAAAATGCCAATTCAAAAAACAAATTGTTTCTAAAGAAAAAGACATCCTACCTCAAAGGTCACCCAGATAAACAAAGAACATACTGTATTTTAAATCAGCAATTAGCAATCATAGTTCACATCAAGCGCTGTTTCTCCACACATCATTGTAATAGATCCAGGCAATTAACCCCCAGGATCCCCCATTTACTGAGGGGCTTGATTTATCTGTTTTCAAGCATTTCTCAGATGTTCAGTCCACGCTGCTCAAACTATTTCAGGCAGCAAGGCTTTTCCGGAAATAGAAATTGTCACCTTTTGAGGGGCTTTTGAAGAGCTGATTAATAAGAGGATTGTTTACAGCCAACATGACACAGATTTTGGAAATTTGTGGGTGTTGCTGGCAAGGTCAGCATTTCTTGCGTATCTCCAGTTACATCAGAGAAGATGCTGCCAACCCAGCTTCATAAAGGTGGCAAACCATCTGGTTTGGGTGTGCCCTTGGGTGTGGGGAGATGGGATATAGGGGGTGAAACATACAAATACAGAAAATAGGAGCAGAAAGAGGCTATTTGGTCCTTCAAACCTTCTCCACCATTCAGTATGATCACCAGCCAACTCTGTACCCTGTTCCCACTTTCTCCTCACTGCCTTTGATCCCTTTAGCCATAAAATTTGTATCTAACTCATTGAAAACATTCAATGTTTTGGCCTCACCCACTTTCTGTAACAGAGAATTCCACAGGCTCACCACTCTCTGGGTGAAGAAATTTCTCCCCATCTCAGTCCTAAATGGCTTTCCTTGTATCTACAGAGAGAGTTTGGGAAGGGAGTTTCAGGATTTTGACTCATAGCATGTAGGATGGAGGACCACAGTTATGTGTAGGAGTTGGTTAATGAATAGATACTTTAATATAACAAACTAATCTGAAAGACCCTCAATTATCTAGGGATCTAAATCCCCCACCACAAACATCCAGCGGGTTATCATTGACCAGAAACTCAACTGGACTCACCATACAAATACAGTACAAGAACAGGTCAGAGGCTAGGAATATTGCAGCTATTAACTCACTTCCTGACTCCCTAAAGCCTCTCTACAAGGCACAAGTCAGGAGTGTGATGGAATACTCCCCAGTTGCCTGAATGGGTGCAGCTCCAACAACATTGAAGATGACTGACACTATCCAGGACAAAGCAGCCCACTTGATTGGGACCACATCCATAACCATCTACTCCGTCCACCACTGACACTCAGCAGCAAGATGGTGTACTACCTACAAGACGCGCTGCAGCGATTCGTATCTTCCAAACCCATGACAACCACCATCTAGAAGGACAAGGACAGCAGATACATGGGAACACCACAACCTTCAAGCATCCCTCCAAGCCATTCACCATCCTGACTTGGAAATATATCGCCGTTCCTTCACCGTTGCTGGGTCAAAATCCTGGAACTCCCTCCCTAATAGAAGTGTGGGTCAATCCACAGCAGGTAGAATGCAACGGTTCAAGAAGGCAGCTCACCTCCACCCCCTCAAGGGCAACTAGGGACGGGTAATAAATGCTGGGCCAGCCAATGACACCCATTTACCATGTCCCATGCAGGAATAAAAAAAGATCTTAAAGACTGAATACTGCAAGCATTCTAATCTAGATTTTCTATCCCATTTTCCTGTAAGAGACACATCATCAACCTTTTAGTTTTAATTGAATTCTCTTTAGAATACCACACTGAATGGGAGATTTGAACAGTGCCACAGACATACCAGCCACACTAAGAGGAGAAGTGTTCAGCACATCAGAAGATATGCTGGGTTTTAGCAAAGTCAAAACTCTGCAACAGTTCCTTAGGTTGATGGTATGGCCCAACCGTCTTCAGTGGTTTCAACTTCCCTCTCATCATAGTCAGGAATTTCTCTGATAATTGCACAATGTTCAACGCTACTTGCAACTCTTCAGTAGCAGAAACAATCTGTGTACATGTGCAACAAGACCTAGACAGTGTTGCAGACTTGGGGCTGATAAATGGTGAGATATCTTTGCACCACACGTGACCATCTCCAACGAAAGGCAAGTCTAACCATCTGTCCTTGACATTCAACACTACTACCATCACTGAATCCCCACCACTAACCCTCTGGGGTTATTGATCAGAAACTTAACTGGGCAAGGCACATAAGTCTTGTGGCTACAAGAGCAGGTCAACGGGTGTAAATCCTGTGCCTTCTGTAAGACACAGGTCAGGAGTGCAATGAAATATTCTCCACTGGGCTGGTTTTGTGTGGCTTCTGCCACATAAGAACGTCAGTGCAATCCAGGACAAAGTAATCCACTTGAATGCACCTTCCACTTGACTGCAACCTATCCACTACATTAAAGATTCACTCACATTGTCACAGCACAACATGGCAGGAGTGTGTGCCATCTACATGATGCACTCTAGCAACTTACCATGGCCCCTTTCACAGCACCTTCTCCACCCAAGGCCTCTACCCCTTGAAGCAGGACTGGGGATAAGAAATCATAGAAACCCTAAAGTGTGGAAACAGGCCATTTGGCCCAAAAGTCCATACCACCCCTCTGAAGAGCATCCCACCCTGGCTCATTCCCCTATCCCTGTATTTACCCATGTCTAATCTACCTAACCTAAACATCCCTGGACACTGCAGGCAATTTATTATGGCCAATCCACCTAGCCCGCACATCTTTGGACTGTGGGAGGAAACCAGAGCACCCAGAGGGGACCCACACAGACACGGGGGGAGAAAGTGCAAACTCCATACAGACAGTTGCCCGAGGCTGGAATCAAACGCAGGTCCCTGGTGCTGTGAGGCAGCAGTGCTAACCACTGAGCCACTGTGTGCCCCTAATCCTGGAGGGGAGTGTTAAAATTATTTTATTAATGTCAGGTGAAACAATCTGATGGAATAGATGTTCTTTATTTTGTATTGTTTCACACAGCACAGGAGTGGTGAAGCCTTGCTTCAATTATACAGGGCCTTAGCTAGGCCACACCTAGAGTTTATATGCAGTTTTGGTCTCTTTAGCTCAGGAAAGAGACTATTGTCAATAAATCATAGAATCCCTACATTGTGGAAACACGCCATTCAGCCCATTGAATCCACACAAACCCTCCAAAGAGCATTACACTCAGTAATCTCACTGAAATTTACAAGCTACTTAAAAGGATAGACAGGGCAGAAATAGGTATGAGGTTTCCCCTGGTTGGGGAATCTAGAAACCAGGGGATTATAAAATAAGGATATTCCATTAATGGCCAAGATGAGGACAATTTCTTTTGCTCAGAGAGTGGTGAACCTGTGGAATGTCTGCCCCAGAGGGTTATGGAAGCTCAGTCTTTAAAGTAGATGGTGATAAATTTTTGATTATCAATGATGTACATGGCTATGGGGATGGTGCAGTTAAAAGACATTGAAGTGTTTGATCAGCCACAATCAAGTGCAATAGCAGAGCATTTACTGACAGACTGAATGGTCTGCTCCTATTTCTATGGTCCTCAGTCACTTTGTACAGTTGGATTAAGCATGTTCTATCACACTTGCTCTTCACAAGATGTTCAGTTGCTTTTTGTGCATGAAAATAGCATAAACCATACAGAGAGTTTTAAAAATTCATTTTCAGAATGTGAGTGCAGCTAGTTAGGCCAGTATTTATCGCCTATCCCTAACCACGCAGAAGGCTATGGATCTGAAGTCACATGTAGGCTAGACCAGATAAGGATGGCAGCTCCCCCTAACCTAAAGGGGCATCAGTGAACCAAATGGGCAATTTGCCACCCCCAACAGCTGGCAATGGTTTCATGGTCTTTATTACACTCTTAATTCCAGATTTTTGCCTAATTCAAAGTCCACCATCTACCATGATAGGATTGGAACTCAGGTTCCCAGGACATTACACAGGCTTCCAACTTATTAGTCTCATGACAATACCACTAGACTATGTCTTCCCATATATTGGGCATTGTATTGGTGTGCAGAGGTGTACATTGGAGTATGTGCAAATAGCATGAACCTCTATTTTAGATCAAACCGGGATACTATCATTGCCCCCTTGGTTACTGTATTCTTTGTATAGAAAATGGGCACATTCCTGGTGTATGATGTACAGACCACATATGGGATGACTACTGCTCAAGTAAAGTCAAAAGAAAGTCTAAGTCAAAGGCTGAATTTGTCATGTCTTATGATTAGCTGGGAACATCACTGGTCATTAGGAATATCCATTTATTTCTAACAGAGTGATTCATTTTAACATTCCTTCTCATAGAAAAGTTGATTAGACTTTTGAAAGCACTTGCAATATCAGGGCAAATAAGCAATGGGCCAAAGTGCTGGAAAATGAGTTTTGAAACGTTAGGTGGTTGCTGTTGACTGGTGCAAACTCGATGGGCTGAAGGGCCTTTTTACGTGTGCTAGACCTCTATGACTCTATTGCATCCGTAACTGTATATAATGCAACAGGTTAAGAATGTAAGATATCCTTCCTGGCCAACATATTGTATACTTCCCCATCCATTTCTCTTTACAGCCTTTCTGTCCCTTCAATTTGCCACCTCACTTTGCACCATCTAAAAACTAATAAGGTGCCTTCTTGAACCACTGCAGCTTATGTGGGGTCGGTGGAGCCACAGTGCTGTTGGGAAGGGAGCTGCAGAACTTTGATACATTGACAGTGAGCAGCAATTACATTTCCAAGTCAGGATGGTGTGTGAGTTGGAGGGGAACTTGTAAGCGGTGGCTAATGCATCCACTGTCATTGTCTTTCTAGATATTACAATACATGAGACTATCAAAACAGAAGTCTTGACAAGTTGTTGCAACGTATCTTGCAGATGAAAATACTGAGCGTTGGTGGTGAAGAGAGTGAACGTTTAAGTTGGTGGGCAGGGCTCGCATCAAACAGGTTACTTTGTCCCGGTTTTTGTCAAGCTTGAGTGTTGTTGGAGTTGCACTTATCCAGGAAGTGGGGAGCACTTCTTCAAACTCCTAACTTGTACTTTGTTAATGGTAGACAGGCTTCTGGAGAATTACAGAGATATATCGCAGAATATCCAGCTTGTGGCCTGTCACACTGATACGATGACCAATTAAAGACCGTTTCCTTTTTCAATGTGTAGCTTAAGTGCTCTGTAGAACTCGATTCCAATACATTGTAATTCAATTCACATAGCACCATTACAGCGAGGAAACCTCCATCTTCCTGAGCTGGCTCAGAGCTGAGGTGTCAAGCTTAAAAGGCTCATGTCTATCCCAGTCCTCCAACATATTGATCATCTACATCACATTTTAAACTCAGAATGTAATTTAAACCTTGTCTGATGCTCTGATGACAATGCTTAAAGTGCTTCTGTTTCATATACAGTACCAAAGCAGTGAAAAAATAATACTTCAAATGGTTGCAGATTTCCGTTCCTTTTATTTTCACGACAGCTGTAAAGGGTTCGTTCAGGTGTGTGCCAAACTTTATGCAGTTCTCGCACGGACAACAGAAGGAGAAATGATCCCACAGTGAATATAATGGAGCGACAATGACCTTTTTGTTCTCTCTGTGCCGCTGGTGTGGTCAGTTTTTGCTCAGACTCTAAGAGCCTGATTCAGGATAGATGCTGGCTGGGTGTGAGAAGATTATGTTGTGATTCTTGGCCCACTTTGCAAAGACAGTTTTCTCAGTAATAAACCGATGACCTCCATAGAGGGCATTTTCGTGAATGGCATACTCCGCGCATTCATCTCGACTCCCGGCTTCGTAGTAATGATAAGGAACTTTTTTGTGCCCTTCAGCTCTGTGAAAACTGAGAAACAAATCATCATTTTTTTCCAGAGATAGCAGGAACTACAGATGCTGGAGAATCTGAGATAACAAGGTGCAGAGCTGGATGAAACGTCTAGGCCCGAAACGTCAGCCTACCTGCTCCTCTGATGCTGCTTGGCCTGCTGTGTTCATCCAGCTCTGCACCTTGTTATCATTTTTTCCAGTGCAGCTTTATTGCATTATCAGCAGCTTTCAACTCAGAAACAAAAATGGTCTTTAAGGGGACATCTAGACGTTTAACTAATTGTTAGGTCATGTAGAATTTGAGTATTGCCTGGAAAAAGATTTTTTTTGTTGAAACTTTTCATCACGTTCTCATCAGGACAATTTGCAAGAATACCAATGCCAAAGGAATGCAACATTTCGACAGTATAAGAGAAGAGTGCTGATTTGTTGGTAAGTGGACTCTGACTGGTGGCAGCGTTGTCATAGAGAATGTTAGACTAAGACTGACAGCTCTCCTATTGTAGTGAAATGTTGGCTTCCTTTGCATTATCATTTCTTACAAAGTGTCCTGATGAGTGCAAGATGAAAAGCTGCAACAAAGGTTTTTCAGCAGGTACTCAAAACCTTGGTTTTGGCTATAAATGCTTCTAGGGTTTATAATCACTGGAAAAGCAACGTGTTGCATGCCTTAAGAATATCTAAAAATGCTTCACAGCCAGTGAACTATATCTGAAGAGTAGACATTGTTGAAATATTGGAAACACAGTATCTAATCTGCCCACAGCAAGATCCCACATTGACCATTGAGATATATGACAAGGTAATATCCTTTAGTTTTTTAAAAAACTTATTCACAGGATGAGGGCATTGCTGGCTAGATATTGCCCATCCCTAATTGCCCAGAGGGCTGTTAAGAGTCAACCACATTGCTGTGTGTCTGGAGTCACATGTAGGCCAGACCAGGTAAGGATGGCAGTTTCCTTCCCTAAAGGGCATTAGTGAACCAGATGGGTTTTCCTGACAATTAATTCATGGTCATCAGTAGATTCTTAATTCCATATATTTATTGAATTCAAATGCCACCATCAGCTGGGATGGGATTTGAACTTGCTCCCAGAAAGTTACCTGGATCTCAAGGTTAACAGTCCAGCAACACTACCACTAGGCCATCACCTCCCCCAGTGGGTTGGTTGACTGATAAGTATTGGTCAGAGAGCATTCTTCTGCTAATAAAAAAACCCTGAAAGAACTGCAGACGCTGTAAATCAGAAACAAAAACAGAATTTGTTGGAAAAGCTTGTCAGGTCTGGCAGAATCTGTGGAGAGAAATCAGAATTAACGTTTTGGGTCCAGTGACCCTTCCTTCTGACCCTTCTCTCCTGCTTTTCTTCAAATTACAGTGTCATTAGATCACTTACATCCATCTTAAAGGACAGATGGGGCCTTATTTTTATGTCTCTTACTTTAATGCATGTTGTGAAAGATGGAATGTCTAACAGTGTGCTGTCCCCTCGATACTGCATTGGAATGTGAACCTGGATTTTGTGCTCAGGCTTCTAGACTGGGAGTTGAGTCTCACGAACATTTATCTCATAAGCAAGTCTATCCCCAAGAAGCGTGCATTAATTCTATGGAGACATTACGAGCGAGGTGGACAATGGGGACCCAGTGGATGTGGTGTACCTAGACTTCCAAAAGGCCTTTGACAAGGTGCCGCACAAGAGGCTACTGCATAAGATAAGGATGCATGGCATTAAGGGTAAAGTATTCGCATGGATAGAGGATTGGTTGACTAACAGGAAGCAAAGAGTGGGGATAAATGAGTGCTATTCTAGCTGGCAGTCAGTGACTAGTGGTGTGCCTCAGGGATCGGTGTTGGGACCGCAATTATTTACAATTTATATAGATGATTTGGAGCTGGGGACCACGTGTAGGGTGTCAAAGTTTGCAGATGACACTAAGATGAGTGGCAAAGCAAAGTGTGCAGAGGACTGTGAAACTTTGCAGAGGAACATAGATACATTGAGTGAGTGGGCAAAGGTCTGGCAGATGGAATACAATGTAAATAAATGTGAAGTCGTACATTTTGGTAGGAGTAATAGTAAAAAGGATTATTACTTGAATGGCAAAAAGTTGCAGCATGCTGCTGTGCAGAGGGACCTGGGTGTCCTTGTGCATGAATCACAGAAGGTAGGTCTGCAGGTACAACAAGTAATTAGGAAGGCAAATGGAATTTTGTCCTTCATTGCTAAAGGGATTGAAATAAAAAGCAGAGAGGTTATGTTGCAGCTGTACAAGGTGCTGGTGAGGCCACACCTGGAGTACTGTGTGCAGTTTTGGTCTCCTTACTTGAGAAAGGATGTACTGGCACTGGAGGGGGTGCAAAGGAGGTTCACTAGGTTGATTCCAGAGTTGAGGGAGTTGGCTTATGAGGAGAGACTGAGTAGATTGGGATTATATTCATTGGAATTCAGAAGATTGAGGGGGGATCTTATAGAAACATATAAAATTATGAAGGGAATAGATAAGATAGAAGTAGAGAGGATGTTTCCACTGGCAGGTGAAGCTAGGACAAGAGGGCATAGCCTCAAGATTAGAGGGAGCAGATTTAGGACTGAACTGAGAAGGAATTTCTTCACCCAGAGGGTTGTTAATCTATGGAATTCCAGTGAAGTAGTTGACGCTACTTCAGTAAACGCTTTTAAAAAAAGGTAGATTTTTTTTGAACAATAAAGGAATTAAGGGATACGGTGAGAACGTGGGTAAGTGGATCTGAGTCCACGAAAGGATCAGCCATGATCTTATTGAATGGCGGAGCAGGCTCGAAGGGCCAGACGGCCTACTCCTGCTCTTAGTTCTTATGTTCTTATGTTCTTATCAGACCTCTCAGAAAGAGAGTTACAATAACAAACTCCATTAGGACAGAAACCACCTTAAACAGCTTCACAGGGTGGCAAACCAAGAGAGGGCATTTCATGGACACTGTACTGTCCACAAACAGCAAGAAATTACATTCTTTTCTCACCCTCAGTGTAACCTCCCATCTAAAGGATAGCACCTTGCTCAACTGGGCGATCTCACAGCACTGTGCGAGAGTCATATACCCTTGGGGGAGGGGGAGGGTGGGGATGTGAGGGACTGTGTTGAGCTCAGTCTCTCCTGCCTCAAGATTGAAGACACCGAAAGCAAACCCCCATACAACCACCATCAGCTAAACGTTAACAAGGGAATCTTTAACAAAAGGAATAAAGGCTGACTGATTCATTTTAACTCCGAGCCGAATGTTCACAATATTTGATGTAAGTAGTTGTAAAGGTGCAGAACCCAAACAATAACATGTCTCCTGACTCACTCCAGGGGCATACAGCACTACTCCAGTGGTACTCCACCCATCCTTTTTTTTCATTCATTCATAGAATGAGGGTATCACTGACTAGGCCAGCATTTATTGCCCATCCCTAATTGCCCAGAGGGCAATTAAAAGTGAACCGCATTGCTGTGGGTCTGGTGACATATGCTAGCCAGACGAGGAAAGGATGGCAGTTTCCTTCCTTTCCTTTAATGAACCAGATGGGGTTTTCCCCCAAAAATCAGTAATGGATTCATGGTCGTCATTAGACTCCTGAACTCTGTATTCTTTAACTGAATTCAAATTCCACCATCTACCATGGCAGGATTTGAACCCAGGTCTGTAGAACATTATCTCGGTCTCAGGATTAACAGGTCAGCGATAATACCACTAAACTTTTGCTTGTTGTTATTAAGGTGTCTCTCAGTGCAGCAGTAGGTCAAACCAATGGTTCACAGAGCAGGAGGTTTTCAAGGTCTCAGACAAAATGATGGTAGTGGCTTATGATCCCAGAGTGAGCGGTGTTCCTGCTCCTGAAAACATTTCCATTGGCGCCAAATGAACAAGTGTGAATGTGGCTGTGAGTTAGGACAGTCAGTGCTATTGCAATGCACTGTTAGTCGAACAGCAGTAGTTTGTGTATTTCAGAGCCATTACTCAGGCATAGTAACAGTGATGGTTTCCTCAGTCTCTCTTCGTTATCAGCATTAGGACAGCTCTTGTCTGCTAATAAATTGGGACAGTGGAACAAGAGTTAGGAGATGCACTTTGGGGAGGGGGAAGGCCTAGTGGTATTACTCAGCTAATGTTCTGGGGACCTGGGTTCAAATCCTGCCCTGGCAGATGGTGAAATCTGAATTCAATTAAAAAATCCAGACTTATGGATATAATGATGCCAACAAAATCATCGCTGATTGTCAGAAAAACCCATTTGGCTCACTGTCGTCCTTTAGGGAAGGAAATCTACCATCCTTACCTGATCTGGTCTACATGTGACTCCAGACCCAAGTTGACTCTTAACAGCCCTCTGGTCAATTAGGAATAGGCATTAAATGTTGGCCTTGTCAGTGACTCCTACATCCTGTGAGTGAATTTAAGAAAATACACATCATCCTGACTTGGAACAAAGAGTCATCATCCTAAACCACTGATGCTGGGTCAAAATTTTGGAATTCCTTTCCTAATGGCATTGTGAGTCTACCAACAGCACATGGAAGGCAGCTCACCAACACCTTGTCAAGGGCCAACAAAGGATGGACAATAATGCTAGACCAGCCATGTCCCACGAGTGATTAAAAAATCTCCAAGAAGTGGTTAAAACCTTCACAAAACAAGAGAAGAAATATTGGCAGAGAAAGGGAATTAGTCATAAAACAATCCTTATCTGAATTAAACCTGCTCAAAAATACAAATCTGGCTAGCGTGGAAGTCTGTCTAGCTATGACTCTTTCAGTAGAATGCTCAGTCAGAAGGTTGCAAGTTCAAGCCTCATTCTAAGGATCCGAGTACAAACTGTAGGTTGTGTTGAGGGAGTGCTGCAAAGTTGGATGCTGTCTCTCAAGTGACGTGTTAAAACTGAAAATTTTCCTGTCCTTACAGATAATGATCCAATGTCTTTATCAAAAAAGAGCATGATTATCCTTCCTGGCCTGGATTTATCCCTCAATCAACGACATTAAAACAGATTATTTGGACTTTATCACATTGCTATTTGTGGGATCTCCTGTGCCCAAATTGGCTGCCACATTTCTTACATTACAACGGGATCTCCATTCCAACTGAATAATGCATTGGCTGGAAAAGCCACAAACATCTGGAAGCTGAGAGAGGCTGTACATAAATGCAAGGCTTCCTATTCTCAAGTAATTCATGTTCTTTGTCATTGTTTACATGCTTAAAAGAAGTGAGCAAAATGTTCAAATAACCCAGCACCTTAATATTGATCTTGAGAACAAATAAATGTGCATGTTATCATTTCATTAGGCATATAATGATCTGCAATATCAGGACACCATACAGTTCACTGGCAATATCTGTGTCATTTCTAAAATTGATCATAATGGGTGCTGATGTTTAAATATGATGCTTCAGTTCCTGTACGTCTGCACTTCCAGCAAGTGTGTCTTTTCAGACCAGACTTTTTCCAATACTTGCTGTAATTGTAGCATTTTCCTCACATGCTAATAGGAGCAACAACTTGCATTTAAGTAGTGCTTTTAAAACAGTGCTTCAGAGGCTTAGACTAAATTTGACATGGAGTCATATAACGAAACATTAAGACAAATGTCCTGAAAGACTGGCAAGAGTTAGATATTAAAGGTAAAGTTTCCATTGTCTCAGAGGAGTATAGGGCTGTTCTCTTAAAAGAAGGTTTAACCTCAGGCAAGAATCATAGAATCTCTACAGTGTGGAAACAGGCCTTTTGGCCCAACAAGTCCATAGTGACTCTCTAAAGAGCATCCCACCCAGACTCACCCCCACCCTATCCCTGTAGCCCTGCATTTCACATGGCTAATCCACCTAGCCTACACATCCCTGGACACTATGGGCAATTTATCATGGCCAGTCCATCTAATCTGCACATTGTTGGACTGTGGGAGGAAACCAGAGCACCCGGAGGAAGCCCACACAGACACAGGGAGAATGTGCAAACTCCACACAGAAGCCACCCAAGGTTGGAATTGAACCCGGGTCCCTGGAGCTCTGAGGCGGTAGTGCTAATCACTGAGCCACCATGCTGTCCCAACAAGATGGGTTTTTCCAACAGTCGCCCATGGTCATAGATAATAGAATCATAGAATCCCTACAGTGTGGAGTCAGACCATTCGGCCCAACAAGTCCACACCGACCCTTGGAACATCCCATCCAGACCCATCCCCCTATAACCCACCTAAGCTACACATCCCTGAACACTACGGGTAACATAGCACAGCCAATCCACCTAGCCTGCTCATCTTCAGACTGTGGGAGGAAACTGGAGTACCTGGAGGAAACCCACTCAGACACAGGGAGAATGTGCAAACACAGACAGTTGCCTGAGGGTGGAATCAAACCCGGGTCCCTGACGCTGTGAGGCAGCAGTGCTAACCACTGAGCCCCGATCTTTAGTAGATCCACAATTCCAGATTTGTTATTGTGTTCACATTTCACCATCTGCCCCAGTGGGATTTGAACTCAGATCCCCAGAGAATTAGCTGAGATTTAGGATTAACAGTCCAGTGACAATGCCACTATGCCAAGGGGTGAGGTTGAGAAGGAGAATTCTTCATGGAAACCTCAGTTAGCATTAGGGAACATCTTAGAGGGGAATAGATGGGAGGAGAGGAAATCAGGATGGGAAGACTAGAGCTTAGGCCTGAGACGGCTGAAGGCACAGCTGACAATGTTGGGGTGGCTTAGATTAGAGATTCACTCATAAGGGTTTTTGTGATACAATGGTAGTGTCTCTATGTCTGAGCCAGGAGGGCCAGGTTCAAGGTCCACTTGCCCCAGTGGTGTGTAACAACATCCCTGAGCAGGTTGATTGGGAAAATATCTAGAGATTTGCTCATGACTAGAATTAGAGGATCTTGTGTAGTTTTAGGGTGGAGAGAGTCACAAAGACAGGGAGGGGTAATGCCTTGGATTTGACAACAAGGATAGTAAAATCCTCTGTAACATCTCATTCAGAAGTTATTATCTGTAACATTGAAGCAAAGCCCTGATATCCCACCCGGTTAAATATTCCATGGGTTTTTTTTTTCTGAAGAAGAGCAGGGGCATGTTGCTCCAATGCTTGGACCTATACTTATCCCTCCCCACCGTCATAAAAATAGGCAGTTAAAACATTGCTGTTGCTAACAACTTGTTGTATGTCACCGAACAATAGAAAGGTGGAGTAGGTGTAGGCCATTCAGCCCTTCGAGCCTGCTCCACCATTCAATACAATCAGGGCTGATCATCCAACTCAGTCCCCAGTTCCTACTTTCTCCCCATACCCTTTCATCCCGTTAGCCCTAAGAACCAAATCAAACTGCTTTGTGAAAACCTTCAATGTTTTTGCCTTAGCCGCTTCCTGTGGTAACAAATTCCACTGGCTCACCACTCTTTGGTTGAAGAAATTTCCCCTCTCAATCCTAATTGGCCATCCCTGTATCCTTAAACCGTGACACCTGGCTTTGGTCTCCTCCCTCCTGCATTTTTACCCCGTCTAGTCCTGTTAGAATTTTGTTAATTTTGTTATGCCGTCAACTGACTCCCACACATCCAGTCAGAGTGACTTCACTTTACTGATGTTGAGTAGACTGCAACATCCTGGGGTCAGAAAGGGTGCCATACGTATCATTTTCATCATTACATCTAGATCCAGATTGACTCAAAGCCAGTATAATCACTGTGGGTGTCTCCTGCTCCAACCCCACCCCTCCCAACATGGATGGCCTTCTTGATTGATTGATTGATTGATTGATGGATTGATTATTACATGTACTGAAATACACTGAAAAGCTTTGTTTACGAGCAGTACAGGCAGATCTTAGTAAGCAAAGGGTGTACAGCATATTGGTCAGTAACCATCCGAACACGCACAAGTGAAGTTGCGTGAGAACATTATTTAAACGGGCAACAACACACTGCAGCAGCACACAGCTACACCAAGAGGAAGAAGAGTACCTCTTCCAGGAGTTCAAAACCTGAAAAACTGGGTCAGAAGATGCCTATTACATGCACGACACCAGGAAGATACTACATGCCCCAACACACTCATCACGCTACCTTATATCAGGAACACACATGGACTGACCACAAGACTCCTCCGACCACTGGGCATCAGAGTTGTACACAAACCCACGTCAACCCTACAACAACTGCTCACCCGAACCAAAGACCCACTATGGACAGGACCAATGTCATCTGTAAGATTCCCTGCAGAGACTGTGACAAACACTCCATTGGACAAACAGGAAGGAAATTAACAACAAGGGTATACAAACATCACTTGGCTGCAAAAAGACACGACCAATACTCACGCATCTCTATCCACATGGATAAGGAGAACCACCAGTTTGACTGGGACAACACTATAATCCTGGGACATGCAAAGCAGAGACAGGCACGGGAATTCCTAGAAGCCTGTTTCACCACTAAGAAAGCCATTATTAAACACATAGAGCTATACCCCACATACACTCCACTGTGAAGGGAAACAGGAAGTGAGGTAATCCAGTCAACGGACTCAGAGTTTAAAAACCAGGCGGGAAAACACAACGGCACTTCATTGGAGGCTGCACTGAAGATGTTACCCAGCAGGATAATGAAATGTCTGCGGAACAACGAACCAGCTCGGCTAGCCAACCAACCACCACAACTATTTCGCTCAATGCAGATGGTGCCAGACCTACTGAGTTTCTCCAGAAATTTCTGTTCTCGTTTCAGATTTCCAGCATGTGCAGTTCTTTGTTTTCATTTTAATCTCTTTTATAATATTGATTGAGGGATAAATGTCATTCTTCTTTCACAATTGGGCCAAGAAATCTCTAAGCCTCCTCAAGGAGGCACTTGGTTTTACCATTGTGCTGGGAAGATGGTACCTCTGACAGCGCAGCATTCCCTCAACATTACGCTGGAACAGTTCTGAGGAAGGGTCACTGGGCACGAAACGTTAACTCTGATTTCTTTCCACAGACGCTGCCAGAACTGCTGAGCTTTTCCAGCAACTTCTATTTTTGTCTCTGATTTACAACATCTGCAGTTCTTTTGGTTTTTGTTTGGGATATATGACATTTGGACAGGTATAGGGATAGGAAATGTTTAGAGGGATATGGGCCAAACACAGACGGGTAGGACTAGTTTAGTTTGGGGAAACTTGGTCAGCATAGATGAGTTGGACCAAAGGGTCTGTGTCTGCCCCCCACTCCTCCCCCGACTCATCTTACCTGCAGTAGGTATCATTAATCATTCCAAAGATATGGATTTTATGGCAGACGTCCATCGCAAGAAGGAGTGTGAACCAGCCAGTGCTCAGGTAAGTACCTGACTGTGCCCTGTCAGAGCAAGAACAGGAGAGAACATTTTAAAATGATCGAGTGTTAACATATCTTCAACCGACTTCACAAAGTACTCTCAGGCGGGCGATGGAAAATATCACAACTTTTGTCAAGCTGTTTGAATTATTTATCTTGAGCTTACAGCATCTGTCAGTTTGCAGACTGCAGTGTTCTCGGAATAATGTTGGAGAAACACACACACACACAGACGCAGACACACACACACACACACACACACACACACAGACGCAGACACACACACACACACACACACAGAAACATACAGACAGAAACACACACACACACACACAGAAACATACAGACAGAAACACACACATACACAGACACACACAGATACACCCATACCCAGCATTCTGGCCTCAGAGCTGTGGAAGTTTGTTATAGCTGTGCAGAGATCAGGTTTGAACCAATCCACTATGATACACCCAGTTCTGGGAATTTCACCTCAGCAAGGATACACTAGTCTTTTTAGAACCAAGCTGCATTGGACCCAAACTAGACCAGTCTCCAGGCTGAACACAGGCTGCATTCAGTAGATTTCTATTCCCTTGACTTCAACTTAAGAGTTGATCTAATTGAGATATTAATAAGCTAGATAGTGCCAATGTAATATCTCTATATGGGGCCATAGTATTATCTCTGTTGAGAGTATCCAGACAATGGCTGATATCTTTAATCAAATTGTTCAAATATATTATGACAACCCTCTGGAGCAAATATGACTTAGAACACAGGAGCACATTCAACGCTTTCAGTCTGCTCTGAGACTTGAACCTGGGCCTCCTGGCCCAGAGATAGACTTTACCATTGTACCTAGAACAAAAGAACATAAGAACTAGGAGCGAGAGTAGGCAATCTGGCTCCTCGAGCCTGGTCGAGCTTTTCAATAACTTGTATGCTAACATACAAAAGGGGCAACTGTTCACACAGAGTGTGGTTCATATGTGGAATGAACTGCCAGAGTAAGTGGTGGATGCAGGTACAGTTACAACATTAAAAAGACCTTTAGACAGGTACATGAGTAGGGAAGATTTAGAGGGATATGGGCCAAACACAGGCAAATGGGACTAGCTTAGTTTGGGAAACTTGGTCAGCATGGACAAGTTGGACTGAAGGGTCTGTTTCCATGCTGTATGACTTCATGATTTACTGACTCTATAAAAGGATTGCTGTAGGTTTTGAAAAGCAAGTAACCTCACACTTGTGGCAAGCATTGTGTAAATTGCTCTTGGAACGAACTGAAATTGAAGTGGCTGCAGACGGATATGACCTAAGAGGTACTGTGCACAGATGCAGCTGAGTGGTAACAACTGGTCTATGGACTAGTGATGACTTATCCATGACTAAAGCCTTTTCCCTGCCAATAACTGTGTGACTGGGAACTGAACAGCTTAGAGCTGGGAACAAGACACAGAAAGAAGTCTGTAAGGTTTTGGAGTAAATCTGTAGCTCGGGTTGTGGGTGTTGAGGTTGGTTGGCTCGCCGAGCTGGTTTGTTGTTCCACAGACATTTCTTTACCGTGTGTGGTAAAATCCTCAGTGCACGTCTGCGGAACAACAAACCAGCTCAGCGAACCAACCAACCTCAACAGAAAGAAGTTATTTGATCTCCACCAGTACAGGAGTTGTCTCTCCATTCTCTGCAGTCAAAGCCCGTTTTATCCCTGAAGAAAATCAGGATGCCCTGCAGTAATTAACACCTTCCAAACCCATATCCATTTCCTTCCAGAAGGATCAGAGCAGCAGATAGATGAGAACACCACCATCACTAAGCCTCCTTCAAAGTCAATCACAATCCAGACTTGGAAATATATTGCTGTTCTTTCAGTTTCACTGGGTCAAAATCCTTGAATTCCCACCCTAACGGCATTGTAGGTCCACCTATAGCACAAGGACTGCAGAGTTAGCACTGTGGAGTTGAAACCTTCCTTCATTATTGATTTGAGGGGTAAGATGAACAACTGCGGCCCCTTAAAGTTGTTGCTCGGGGGGAGGATTATCACCTCCACAACAGAAGCTTCTAGCTCAAGTCCCACTCCATTGTTTCATTCGATCCCCAGTGCTTGTTGCACAGCAATCCCAATTGTGATGTAAAGCCAGCTACCTATCTTCACTCTCAGATGGACATTTTAACTCCCTCTCCCACTCCCTGGGTGACATGTCCATCCTGGGCCTCTTCCAGTGTCAAAACGAACGCCACCCACAAACTGGAGGAACAACACCTCATATTCTGCCTCGGGAGCCTACAGCCCGATGGCCTAAACATGGATTTTACCAGTTTCAAAATCTCCCCACCCCCTGGTGTCATCCCATGACCAAGCCTCCCTCTCATCCCCGCCTCCTTGACCTGACACAACCTGACACAACCTGTCCCTCCCACCTATCTGCCCCCACCCTTCCCACTGACCAATCCACACCACACCCTACCCACACTCACCTATCACCATCCCACTTCCCCAGCCATACCCCTCATCTTTTCAGAGCTCCCCTCCCTCTCCCCATTTCTGAAGAAGGGTCCTGACCCAAAACATGAACTTTCCTGCTCCTCTGATGCTGCCTGGCCTGCTGTGTTCTTCCAGCTCCACACTGTATTGTCTCTGACTCCAGCATCTGCAGTTCTTGCTCTCTCTAACAGATACTATGATGCCATTCTGAAACAAAACATGAGATTTTCCACATTTTCTATCCAATATTTTATTATTTAAACAAAAAAAAACATTAAAAAGGAGACAGGTAACCTGGTTATTATCATTTTGCTATTTAAGTGATTTTGCTGTTTGTAAGGCCTTTCCTAAATTATTAGAGAGACCACATCTACCAAACAAAGGGGCGACACACTGGCTCACAGCATATCGGACCAGGGTTCAATTCCAGCCTCAGGTGACTGTCTGTGTGGAGTTTGCACATTCTTCTCGTTTCTGTGTGGGTTTCCTGTGGATGCTCCAGTTTCTTCCCAGAGTCCAAAGATGTGCAGGTTAGATGGATTAGCCATGCTAAATTGCCCCATAGGGGCCAACGATATGTGGGTTAGGTAGGGTTACAGGGATAGGGTAGGAGTTGGACCTGTATGAGGGTCAGTGTGGACTTGATGGGCCAAATAGTCTGTTTCCACACTGTGGAAATTCTATGATTCTATACTTGTGAAGGGATATGGAATAGCCAATGCTTGGGAAAGGGGCGTTTCTTTCCCTTAAACAAAGGAATTTGTGCTGAGTGATACTCTTGGGGGTTCAGTGACATATTGTAGCTATCGATGAGAACTACCAGCACCCTTCACAGTGTAAGCCACCAGTTTCATTTTAGGAGTTACCATTATCACCCTCAAAGCTTGCTTCAGCAAGAAATCCTACTTTACACCTGGAGAGCAGAATTCAAATCATTTCCATAAATGTTTCAGAGATGCTGACAAGTGCTGTCCAATATATCATTTTTACCATGACCTAAATCGCCTTCAGGCTGGAAAATCAATGCTTGAGTTCAAGTATATTTGAATTATTTTTAAAAATGATACAAAATGCTGAATTGCATCATGCCAAACATAAGGTAGAAAATGAGTAATGCGACCGATTCATGTTAAATGGTGTTTGACTTTGACATTGTATAGGGCTTTGGTAAGATTACACCTGGAGTACTATATGCTTTTCATCTCCTAAGAAAGTAAATATGTAAATTGGTATAGTGCGCATTCATGGGATTGTGTCCTGGGGTGAGAGCTTTGTCTCATGATGAGAGACTGTGAAAATTGGGTCAATATTGTCTGGCATTTAAAGGATGGAAAGGTGGCCTCATTGAAACAAGCAAGATCTGAAAGATGTTCAACACTCATAGGGGCTGGTGACCCGAAAACATAGGGCTTAGTGTTAAGATACTATTTCTTTTATTCATTATAGGGTGCGGCATCACTGGCCAGACAGCATTTATTGCCCATCTCTAATTGCCCAGGGGGCAGTTAAGAGTCAACTACATTGCTGTGGGCACTGGAGTCACATGTAGGCCAGACCAGGTAAGGATGGCAGTTTCCTTCCCTAAAGGACATTAGTGACCCAGATGGGTTTTTCCAACAAGTGACAATAGATTCACAGTCATCAGCAGACTCTTAATTCCAGATCTTTATTGAATTCAAATTCCATCATCTGCTGTGGCAGGATTAAAACCTGGGTCCCCAGAACTTTACCTGCGTCTCCGTGTTAACAGTCCAGTGATAATACCACTAGGCCATTGCCTCCCCACATGAGGTTAATTATTTTGGATACAAATGAGGTGAAGTGTCTTCACTCAAAGGGTTGTGAATCTTTGAATCTCTACTCCAGAGTCATAGAGTCATAGAGATGTACAGCATGGGAACAGACCCTTCTGTCCGACTCATCCATGCTGATCAGATATCCTAAATTAATCTAGTCCCATTTGCCAGCATTTGGCCCATTTCCCTCTAAAACCTTCCTATTCATGTGCCCATCCAAATACCTTTTAAATGTTGTAATTGTACCAGGCTCCACCATGTCTTCTGGCAGCTCATTCCATACACGCACCACCCTCTGCATGAAAAAGTTGCCTCTTTAGGTCCAAAGAACAAAGAACAAAGAAAATTACAGCCCTCCAAGCCTGCACCGATCCAGATCCTCTATCTAAACCTGTCGCCTATTTTCCAAGGATCTGTATCCCTCTGCTCCCTGCCCATTCATGTTTCTGTCTAGATACATCTTAAATGACGCTATCGTGCCTGCCTGTACCACCTCCGCTGGCAACGTGTACCAGGCACCCACCACCCTCTGCGTAAAGAACTTTCCATGCATATCTCCCTTAAACTTTTCTCCTCTCACCTTGAAATTGTGACCCCTAGTAATTGAGTCCCCCACTCTGGGAAAAAGCTTCTTGCTATCCACCCTGTCTGTACCTCTCATGATTTTGTAGACCCCAATCAGGTCCCCCCGCAACCTCCATCTTTCTAATGTAAATAATCCTAATCTACTCAACCTC